GATGTACATGGGACAAAGCCTAGTGGATGTACATGGGACAAAGCCTAGTGGATGTACATGGGACAAAGCCTAGTGGATGTGCCAGATCTGGCATGGGACAAATATTCCCAGTGTGCGATGTATTGATGTATGTTTTCCCGACATTTTATACGCATTGTGGTGAAATCAGGCACTCGGTCAAAATAATAAAATGGAAGAAACAGGCATTTCCTGCCGTTTGGCAATTTTGATCAGTTTTGAAGGAGTCTGAAGCTATTGGAGCTACCCAACTTTGGTGGTCATTTTCTCGCTAATTATACCTTTGGAACCAGGTGAGCCCACCTCCTTTTATCTCAAATGTCAAATGTCTTGACTTTTGTTCAAGATTGATTTGTTTTTGGTTGTTGTTTTTTTCGTTGAAAGCAAGGCCAATGAATAAGCCTTCAGGTTCTACTAATAAATCCATTGGCCAAAAAGTGATGAGCGCCTGATTTCACACGTGGTGACACATTGAGTTTTGAGTACCCAGTCGAATCCAAGAGGAGCTGTTCCCACAAGTTGACCCTTGTGGCCTGAGGAAACTTGTGCTGTTGTGGCACAGCTTTTGCTGGACTGTTGGACTTGTCAGTACTTTGTCAACAATACTTGGCTTTCCTGGCGGTATATCCAACTTTTGTAGCTTTTACTTACCATGTCTCACAGTTTCTAGACCGGTGTCTGTGGTGTAGGGCTTAGGCACTTCGCTGTCATATGCAGGAGATCTGAGTTTGATTCTGGAGTGGGGACAATTTTTATGGTGTATCTTTGTCTGTGTACTGGGATGTTGTATCCTTGTCAGCCTGGGTTGACCCTGATAGGCAGGGTTTGCAGCCAGCCTCCTACATAATGGAAGTTGTGTGGAGGGGGAGGAAAAGAAAGCACTTCATTAAACAAGATCTCCCCCCCCCCCCTTTATATGTTCAATACATTTGAGGTAGGTCACTGTTTTCGGGACAGCATTAAAAAAAAAGATAAAGCTAATGGTGTGGACTTGTGTTGTGCAGGTCTGTATTCATGTGTTGTTCCGTTCCTCACAGTGTCCACGGTTAATGATGAAAGCTGAACAATGTACAGCATTTCTGTACTACAGATCCCAGCTCCAGAGCAAGCTCTATGTACCTTACCGTCTGTAGTACTATCCTAGGAGAGCCTCTTACCGTCTGTAGTACTATCCTAGGACAGCCTCTTACCGTCTGTAGTACTATCCTAGGAGAGCCTCTTACCGTCTGTAGTACTATCCCAGAAGAGCCGAGAACACTCACATACATTCCTGGCTTCCCGGGAAGCAAACAGGCTTACAGTTTCTCTTTACGAGCATGTACCAAGTTGACAATGTGTATTATGGATGCTATAAATAGCTGAGTGGAGTGGCGTGCTTGGATCTGACTCTGTTCCCTGGTTCACTCAGATGTTTAGTTCGGAGATTGTGAGTCACTACGGTATCACCGCGCTGGCCGGGGAGGAGGAGGAGGAGTATCTGGAAGAGGTACCTACCCGAATGCTCGACAAAAGGCACCAGAAATTCCAACTAATCTGTCTGACCCGGAATGAGTTTTGTGGAGTACTGAGTCGCTCGCTCACCTTCTCAAGCCTGCTGGAATGACCTTGTGAAGTGTTCAACTCGTAGACGCCAGCTTTACATAACAAACTTAATGAGAATGATTTTTGCCGAGTTAAAAGACGTCCCCCCCTCCCTCCGAATGCGATGTTGTCATGAGAAGTGAGAATTACTGACTTAGAACGCAGTTTTAACAACAGTGTTGTGGTTGGATGTTAGCAAAACAGAATGAAGTAGCTTTGTTTGTTACTTGTTTTCACTTACACTAAAGCTTTGTTCCTGTTGTACAGCATGGAAGATCACAGTTGGTCACGCGTGTGCTTTTTTTGTTTTTTACTTGTTTATTGATCTGAATCCTTGTTCCTTTTGTTTTTTACTTGTTTATTGATCTGAATCCTTGTTCCTTTTGTTTTTTACTTGTTTATTGATCTGAATCCTTGTTCCTTTTGTT